CTTATCTTTGACTGAACCCTGAACCACTCTCAGATTGTCGATTGCACTTGAAGGAATCGCTCTAGTCCCCACTTCACTAAATTAATAGTCATGCAACGTTAGTTGGAAATCAAATGATTCATTACTCTATTGATTTGTGACCATATTAAACATTTCGTCGGAACTTAGTAGAAGGGGATGATTGTCAATTATTCTCACACCAGTTTCACCCACATTTCCATTCCTCATCGGAATATTGGAGCTTATCCGTGCATTTCGTCAATGTATTTAAGCTATTGTATTCAATCATGTTTGTTTCTTTCTGAAGCGGTGTTCATCCACTCGCTGACGTTTATCATCATATGAAGGTTAGAGTAACTAGTTTCCAGATGCACACATTTCCTTTTTACGACAAAATAAGCTTTATCTTTTCTCGAATCGCTCTCCACCAGCATCCATGCACAGTGCCATGCGCTCAAAACATTTGTATAAGCAGCTAGACCGCGCCGAAGCGCGTTATCCTTCAAGCAGCTCATTACAGACTTCTACTGCAGCTTCTGAAGACTCGTAACGGATTCCACGCATCATGCGTTTGACATATGGGAACACAATAAGTCACACTGAGCCAGGTCTGGACTGTACGGTGGGTGACCGACGTACTGTGTGCATTCTCTAGCCAGAAAATCTACGACGATATAGGATCTGTGTGCAGATGCGTTGTCATGGTGCGGCAACGTCCCACGTGCTCAGGTCCTTGGACGACGCTTGTCTACAGTTTCAAGCACTTATGGCAATCAGTTGGTGGCATACTAGTCTCCAGTGACTGCGCCGCCGTATGAGCGGTACAGTAGTTACATGACCGATTTTGGCCACCATCTACTAGACCACACTGCATCCACGCCGGAATTTCTGAGACGGCGCACACCATCGGCCGTCCACTGAGCCGATTGTTGCTTGGTCTCTGGCTCAAAACTATACACCTAAATCTCCTCACCACTGAGAATCTCCCACGCAGCATTGGAACGCCCACCACCAAACCTGGTAAGGGTGGTGCGGCGTCAAGTCACCCGAGCTGCTTTCTGGTACTCACTGAGATGATGGGGTACCCAGCGTGCGCAAACCTTTCTGAGGCCGAGGTTCTCATGTAGGATGGTGCGGATTGATCACGATTAGATCCCGGTGACTTACCCCAGCTGTATCCCAGTCACCTGCGCGTTCTCCTCCAGCATCGCTTGTACAACAGCAATGTTGTCCGCGGTGGTGGGCTCCACAGGTCGACCATACCGTGCCTCAGCATCCAGGGATCGCCTGCCATGCTTGAACTCCGAAAACCACTCATACACGATTGTTTTTGAAGTCGCATCATCACAAGACACAGCAAGCAACCGCTCAGTACTCTGGTGCTACTTTAAGCCACATTTGTGTTCATAGAAAGCATCGCCTTCTAATGGCCTCGACTGAGTTCCGTACTTACAGTCCGAGTATAGCGACACTTGTGTGCAGTGTTGGGCTGCTGTTATAGGTTTCTGTGAGTTGTAATCACCGAACAATGTTCAGAATGGAGGACAGCACACATTTTTCTTGCCAGGTTATCTACACCTACACACCGGAAACCTATTGCTCTTTTGAGTTCTTCGCAATCGGTCGGGAATTCAGATTACTGCCAATCCGGAAAAGCTCCAGACGACCGTCTCGACCCATTGGGGCTCGTCAGTGGCGCGTATTTATCGGTCCTCTTCCAAGGATCGAACCCATGACTGCTAGTAGTTTGCGCCAGCTGGGCCGCAGCTTATGCCACTGAGCCATGGCTCAAGGCAACAGGCGCAATTCCTTGCTTCTGCAACTTTTGCACAATAATGCGGTGATCTAATCTGTCGTGGGCTTTAGAAAAGTCGAGATAGATGGCATCAGAGCCGGACCTGCTAACGACTGTTTACGTCCAACTGTTACGCGTAATTAGTAGTTTGGTAGTACATGACCGATGCTGCCAGAAGCAGTGTTGCTACGGTGCTATAATGTTAGATCTCATGAGTGCTTCAGCAGTGCTCGATTCCATCACCTTTGGGAGCACAGGGAGGATAATCACCGGGCGATAGCTCACTCTGAACTAATACAACCCTTGAAAATCAGAATAATGATACCAACTTTCCCCACATTATTTACCTGCTGTTCATCCAGGCATCTTTGAGTGAATCAGGTTAATGACTCAAGTATCCTCGCAGATACCACTTGCAGTGTTTTCGGGGGAATGGTGTCGAAACCCGGATTATTATGGGTGCGCAACGATAGCGGCTTCCTCAAAACAGTCGCTGAACTTAAAGTGACGTGTGTACATACTGGCGTCTAGGGGAATGGGACAGGTATGTGACACATGCTGGTGACGCGTGGGAATATTGGAGCATATGGTAACCCTAGAACGTTGGTTGCATCCTCGGCAGTTTGAACATTTTCATTAGCTGGGATGAGTGGTGGGAACACCAGGCTTCACCTTCCGGACGCTGTTCACATCTGTGAACAGAAGCGTCTTGTGAGCACAAAACCTTTCCGCTAGGTTTTGCTGATGTACTAATTTGTCCTCATGTACAAGTATGATACAATAATTACGATGCAGTAGATATTTGCTCCAAATGTCATGGTTAGGGTTTGCTCTGTACACATGTCACTCTGCGTCTCTGGTCGACGCGTTTTCGGGTTTTGCACCGAGTAACTGAAGGTGCAGTTGTGGAACTAATGGGACTGTTTAACGATGCGGGTTTAATCTGATTTCGGAGGCGCTCTCAGGTATAGACCCAGTTTTACCTAAGGGTGTTGTTTTCGTACCTTTCCACTCATCGGAATGAGACCCAGTTGTCATTTTTGAGGTTAACAAGTTTACTACTTTACATGGGCGGATCTCATCTGGATCCGGGTGAAATGCAATTACTGTACTGTTTTTCTGGTGCTCGATAAATTTATAAATAGTGTGTTTCTCGACAATGTCAGATGCAGACCAACTACCTGATCCCATCATTATGTTCAACATAACAGGATTGTTGGAATCATTCTTCGTTTTTCTAAGTAGTTTTCAAAGCAATTAGTTAAAACTAGATGGACGAAATTGTTTAAATATGAATACATATAGATATAGCCAACAGTTAAAATAAACTAATACGACCACTCGTGGAACCGCCCCTGTGTTATAATCTATATCGGGACTACATGGCCCAGAGTACTGTTGAGGGGGGAGATCCCCAGGTACATCCTTCACGATGACAAAGGCATCGGTACTAAACAATTGAACGCTACTGTTACAGCCACAAGGCTATCGATAAGAACATCTTCAGGTGTGATAAGATGCAGCGACTAGCTAATTTGTGTGCGACTCCACTTTCTTATAGAAGCCGTGTGCTATCTCAACCAGTGGATTGGCGCTATCATAATATCGGTTTCTTCTTTCTCGAAACGAAGGATTCCCAGGTTTTTGTTCCTTATAAACTGTTTGTAGAGCATTACTATTACTGTAAAGTCTTACCTTTGTTCAAGACCTTCGGTAACAACCCTTATCTCGGAAGGTATTGTGAATGTTTTGGGACGCGTTATCTTAATGAGGACCGCTGTTGGTATTGAAGCTAAACCTGGCCAATGCAGTCATTGGGGCTAGATGAATTTTACTCTTGCGCAATTGCTTAAAAAACAAGTAACCAACAGTTTCCAGAAACGCACCTGGGGCTATAACTGAAGCATATGAATATTAGTACCAGACAACAAGGTGGTTTAAGGGCAAAGGTTTCGTCTAACATCTCAATGGCCCCAGGTTCCAGTGCCCGCTATCTTTACCTGATGAGAGCAAATAAATTCGGATTCGGTAGTAGGATGCAGTCTATACGAGCATGCAACGTCCAATATGCAGCCGTTATCTTGCGTTCGTGTTATTTTTCCTGGAGGCTAGACTTGTCTCAAATGTACGTTAGAGCAGGCATAAGCGTTTCGATGCGCTGCTACATATTCCCGTAAAATGCTTTTGGGTCAGAATATAGGGGAAGTAATTGGTCCAGCGGTATGTACCAAGACAGCAGATTTTCTCATTTATTCTGCCACAATTGCACAAGTGTTACAACGGGGCCTTAGGTGTATGTGTAATGTTCCTTTTGCAGCTGACAATATTGTGGTCACTACTTCTGTGACAGCATTTTATTGGCTTGCAATGAATATGAGGTTCAAAGGATTGTGCAGCCGATTTACTGTTGTATACTGTGCACATCCCCTCATGGAAACAAGTCCAGTATAATTTGTTTTCCAGTGTCTCTGTGCTCGATCACTGTGAGGTAAGTTATAAGCTCTTCCAACTACCTGGAAGCGAATTTAAAAAGGCAGAATTACGTCTCCTCGTATTTTGAAACATCCAGTTTTCATGGGTGCGACAGTTCCGTGGATAATAGACACAACTAACCAACATTCTACTGTTTTCTAAAAATACTGCTCGTCACCACATTGTGAAACATCTAATGGAACCACTTACCTCACCATGATAGCGGTTTCTGCGCAAGAGATAGTAACATTGGATAGCAATAAGATGGGCTACAGTCTCGCTCGGACATCACGATTCGCTAATAAGATTATAAGGGTGATAAAATGCCTCAAGTCACCAGCAGTCATGGGTTTGATCCTCGGAAGAGGACCGAAAGATGCACACTACTGACGAGTCCCAATAGCGCGAAACAGTTGTCTGGTGCTTTGCTAGTTGAGTTATCTGAATTGTCGGCCAATTGCGACGAACTCAAAATACTCACCAAAGTCCTTCTACTCATAAGTACTACTTCTTTCTCTGCCTTCGTGCAACCCAGCTATCTGTCAGGGTTTGAGTTACGGTTTTCGGTAAATGGTTTGTCATCGATCAGCTACACTCGTTTGTCATTCGTACATAGACAGAAGCTCGGCTTATTACTCCCATTTCAAGCCATATACATGATGCGTTACACGCGAGCCATCGTTTGTATATTTGTCTGTTACATTTTAACCCAACGCTCTTTTCCATTTGGTAGGCTCCGACGTGGATGAAACAGCCCGTCGCCTTCGGCATGTGGTTACGCAAGGATTGAGCAGACCGGTATTTGTCGTCATGCGTTTCCTCTTCGCCTTCCTTAATCAGTAAGTTATTTTATCTACTTCCCCTGCTGAACGACCTCAGTCATTCTTTCCCTAAACCTCCTGTACTTGCGCAATTTTACATTCTGCCCCTTCGGACTGTACCTCTTGCGCCGACAAAATGTACTCCGCTATCCGATCTCATAACTGACCGGGTCTCAGTGGCGTGCACTCTTCCTCTTCTAACGATATTCTCGGGATGCAGACTGGTTCCCTCATTTTCCTCGTCGACGAGTCCTTTGAAATTGGTGTGCATGTTCTGCTTCCTTAGGCAACAAGCTAAGCTTTCTCCTTATCTGTTATCATTGGGGGTCATATGTTTCCGGATCAGCTACGGATCTGCTCAGTTAGTTTTCTTGCTCACTCGTTTGAGCCCGACTACGGATGCTAAGGTGGGTTCAAGCTTTTCTTCAACGTTCTATGATTTGTCTTATAGTATCAAATCACACTTTGGAGCCCATCTACTGCGTTTGCTTCTCCAGTATTTGCGGAGTGACCACCTGGGTCCACGTTGCTGCTTTAATCCATGTATTATGCGACTGGTTCGCTTTTGCCTTTTTTCCCCACAAATTTCGCCCTTTAACGGCGACACAATCCGTGGCGCATGCTAATCTACTGTTTGTTAACCTTCAGTTTACTCTCCATTAGATATTCGCCATCACTTGAATTTGACAAAGCGACTGGCCACTTCCGATCGCCCGTTTGACTTACATCCTAAAACCATGTTAACTAAATGAGCTACTCACAAATTCATACCTACCCTGCTAAAGGGTGCACGACGGTTTTTTTTGTTATTTCTCTCCAGAATGTTGTGACCCGTCAAAAACTGTACGGGAAGGCTATTTTTCTAATTGTGTCATCAGAGTTCTTTGGTTTTATCTAACTATGATAGTCGTTGACGATATCGTCAGTCATACTACGCCGACGATGCTAGTTGAAGCAAGTTTCACCGTGCTCTGCAATTCTAAGCGATTCGTTCTACATCGCACCGCTCATGTGTCGAGCGTAGATATTACCTTATCTGTGGATCGTATAATCAGCATTCACACGAAATATTCAAGAGTTACGCACGTTCTACCATATTAAAGATATAGCCAACACCAATGCATCTATCGCCATACAATGTTAAATTCCTTAGTTACGTTCAAATCTAGATACTGCTGATGGGCCATATGTCATCCTCATTTGACACCTCAAGGTGCATCTCGGGTGAACCTCAACTTACGTGATTCCAATCCAGTTGACCTCAAACAGGCTAACCGGTACTTCTTTTTTGTCCTGTGTACATGTTCGTGTCTGTCTGTTGAGTGCATTCATGTGTCCAATCACATACGCACTGATACCCGGCTTCAAATCGTTCCGTTCTTCGTTCACTTGGTCACTTGATATTTCTACTTAGACAAAGCGAACGACCGCTGTTGTGCGACGGTCAATACTGATCAACTGCCTTTTTGGCCGTTTGTCAAATCTTTCACCTAGTATCCACCTCGCACTCATGTCATTTACAAACGAACCTCATGCTCTCTTGAGTGCTTCGGTTCAGGCGTATACTTCGTCGAAGTGACCGTTTGGAAGAATGTCAAATGATCTCTTGAACATAAAAATGAAGGTTATCATATCATAAATCTGCTGTAGAGCAGAAGAACCGGACTGCCTCAACACTGCCTACAGACCTGGAGGTTCTTCCAAATCAGCGTGCACTCTTTAACTGTAACTTTCTCATCCACTCATCTCCACTACGGAACGCGAGACGATGTGCGCTCCTTGAATCTTGTATGGCAGCAGGTAAGCTGGCCAACATAAACGCTATCCTGCTTTTACACATGCGCCTGTGCCGATTCGGCTAATGAATACTTGCGATGGATCTCGACTTCGTGTTCGAATAAATCTAACTTTCCTCTTTTCCATTGATGTTTGAACAGCGTCGTACTTGTTAATATATATAGTAGGTTAATTCCCCTTTTCTTGACGACTGCCTTTGTTTCCGTTGGTTGCACCTGTCCATAGCACTGCTTCTCTTCGTGGGGCGTACATGTGAAGTTACTTTCTACTCTTCAGCTTCCCGGAATTATGAACTGTATTACAAGCAACTCTCTCAGCAGCGTTCCATTCTCCATATTCGATGTTGTAACCAAAATGTTTTCATATCTGCTGTATCTGTAATTTAAGTCCGACCAAGTGACCGGTTGACCACTTTAATGTAACCGGTTTATACCTATCTATCTGTAGAAACTTTACTGATTACCTTGATGAAGGACACTGTCTGTGGTTCTCTTTCAACTGCGTGACCCTGTTCCATAAAGCTCGCCATACCTACGTTCACAATTATTGTTCATATGTTTGTCTCGGAGCTTTTGCTGCTGGTTGTCAAATCCCTGAGGAGATTAATACAGGTGTAAAGCAATGACCTTGTGAATTTTCAGTCTTGCGCATCTATACATGCGATATGTTATAGGCCTGTCTGTTAACAGTAGCGTGTAGGCTTCTGTGATACGGGTTGTGCTACTGTGTTGAACGAAGACGTGCTCAACTGCACGCGGAAGACACTGGAGGCCTATCTTTGATCAACAATACTTTCAGAGCACCAGTCCTGTTTGGTGGAACCATCAGATAAGCCTAGCTGAGGTGTGCCAACTATACCTTTTTACAGGCAACATCACACATAGTGCTAATAAGTTAACTTTTGGAACAATCGCAATAACCTTTTGTTCATTAAAACACACGCGCTCATCAATTCATTCTCTCTCTAAGGGGTTACTTGGACATGAGACATTAGCCAATGGGACTCCCTGGATGTAAGCACAGGGCTAGATGTACGCGTCATTGGGGGACAGGTATGCTCCCGAGTAGGTTGACACATTGGTGTTAACAGAACGCAGACAAGTGTGATAGTGTCAGTGTTAGAGGTCACCAACAGTACGCCTGACTGTAACTGGTCAACCTAGGATGAGGTGTTTGAAGGTTCTCCCTCAGCACCCCTTTAACAGTGCTTTTGTCGGAGAGTTACCATCGGTTCGTATTCTGACCCGGCCGGAAGCCGGTGTCCCTGTGCCAAATATCCAGCGCTTGTCCGAGCAGTCCGTAACGTATCGACCGCACAATATGTGATCGATCCAAGGTGCACAGCACCAGTGGCACATTTAGGCTCCAGGTTGATATTGTCTCTGGTCGAAACAATATATGGCATGAAGATAATGATAATAATAATAATAATGACAAATTTCTCATCAAGTGAAAAGCTGTGACAATATATTTGGCACAGAACATACACGCACAGGTGATGTCATGCTCTTGCAAGAGCAATATCATGTTATCTTCTTATATTTTCTGCATTCCTGGCAAGGTATTTGGCAGACTCCTGTATCCACGCTCACTATCTCGGGTGTCAGCCTGGAGCTCGTTAACAGCTTTAACTCGGGAGTTGCATTACGGATGTTGGAGGTATTGTCGATGAAGGTTCACAACAAATCGCCAAAGCTCGCCTTGCATTTACTAACCTGAGATAATGCGTCGCCACGATGTCAGTCACAAGCTTAAAGGCCGAGTGCACAATGCCACAGTTCGTGCTGTCTTACTGTACGACTGCGAGACCTGGCGTGTTCGATCGGAAGATTTGAGACGACTGTCTGCTTTCGACAACCGCTGCTTGCGTTCGATTGTTCGCGTATGGTGGCAGCGCCATGTGAGCAACGCAGAAATGAGAAACAGAATCATGCGAGCGGACAGTCCTAGTATCCAGAGCATAATCATTCAGCACCGCTTGCGTTGGCTCGGTCACGTACTGCGCATGTCGGCCCACCGACTTTCTTGTCGTGCATTATTTACAGTTTCTGGACGCGAATGGAAAGAGAGCCGCGGCGGACAACCGATGACTTGGAAAATGTGTATGAAGATTCTAACTTCGTGTATAGTGTCAGTTGGATCCATGCGTCTCCCGGGCTGAGGACCCCGTGAAGCGGACTCCAAATGGTTGGAAGTCTTGGAGGGTATGTGCCGCAATAGAAGTCAATGGCGTCATTGCTGTTCTGACATTTCCTCATCCCGTACATTTTAATTTTGAACAAAACACCAAAGCGAAAAAACGCAAAACGACGTGTGTGCAACTGAAAAAACGTTTCTAACGTTTTCCTCCCTCTTTCCTCGTTAAACATTATGTTCTCCTTTCTTTACCACCATGGCTCGGACTGCACACTTGTCTGTTTACAGACTTACATATATATATATATATATATATATATATATATATTCACATTAACATTGAAGCACAATTACACTCGATACCTAGGTAAAAAAAACTTTACCCTTATTATACCACGAGGCAGGACAAATTTGCGGTTTAACTTTTGTCTCAACATATATGCTTCTCTGTGGAATCGGCTGCCATTCACCATCAGGTCGTGTGAGAATGTGCAATCCTTTCGCAGTAAGTTGACTAGCTACCTCTACCTGGACACCATCATGTCGCTTTTTTCTTGGGGAAGATCATTTGAAAATCCATTGAACGAAAGCCCGGTTAACGTCGAATGGGTGTAATACCACCACGTCACGCAATGTAAATGGCCCTCAGTGTCTGCAACATGCTCAAACAGCAAAATTTTCTCCTACCATCACATAAGACAAACATATGGGACAAATACCTTGCCAGGAATGCAGAAAATATAAGAAGATAACTTGATATTGCTCTTGCAAAAGCATGACATCACCTGTGCGTGTATGTTCTGTGCCAAATATATTGTCACAGCTTTTCATTTGATGAAAAGACGGTGAGTATAACCTAGGTGCATAGCACGAATTAACATTTCTTATGCACCTTTTGTGCGACGTTATTACATTTGGCGTAGTTCCATCATTATTATTCGTCATGGAAATCACTTTGATGAAAATTGTTCCGCAGCACGCTTGTTTGCACTTGTTCACTTAGTCTGCGGTTCTGCAAACTTATGCTGAAGTCAGCCACCATTGCGCCACTCATTGTGCACTTTTTTTTGATACACCCGTAACTC